TCATCACCTGCAAGGAGCTAGAAGGTAGTCTGGTTGCTTTGGGCAGGCTACCTAATTTTTAATTTTTTTCTTTGAGAAGAGTGTGTGGGAAGGAGACAAAGTACTTTGAACTTGTGAAGGACAACTGTGCAGCAAAAGACTGCTGTTGTTGAGGAGAGCTCTCCTGTTGATGTGAGGTGTACGTGCTGCTCTGCTGCTGCCTTATTGACACAGCCCATAATTTTAATGCCTGATAATTGAATTGTGTGCTGCCAGGAGGAAGTATGGAGAAAACTTCTTCAGGGACTGTCTCTCTCTAGTGGGATGCAGCTTATAAATTACAAAATGGCACTTTTGGGGAAGCACAGCGGTACCTTAGCACAGCTCCAGTTACAGTCATTGACAACCTTGCTGCTCCTATTTGTAGCTGTCGGTGCAGGTTTCTGTTAAATCAGTCTCACCAGTCCTCCACACTTTTCCTTTGGGACGAGGAGATAAATTGCCATGTTTCATTCAATTTATTCTCATTGATAATAAGGAAAAATAGGTATGTTCTGAGCAGGGGAATGATATGTGACATCCCCTAGCTCTTCAAGCATCCTTTTGGAACAGGCACTAAATATTCAATCCCACTGTAGAGAAATTCATCTTGGAGTTAATCCGAGTGTGGTTGATGGATCACTATCCAAATCCCTGAAACCTAAGCGAGGTATATTCCATAAATGGCTGTAAATTGATGAATTTCCATACCTATTTACCTAAGGTAGATCTTTAGCATAGCTTGGAATTTCTTTGTAACTTGGAAATTCTTCACAGCAAGAGTAGTTAGACATTGTAATGGGCTGCCCAGGGAGGTGGTGGAGTCACCATCCCTGCACGTGCTTAAGGAAAGCCTGGACATAGCATTTGGTGCCATGGTGGTATTTGGTCAAAGGTCGGACTTGGGGATTTCAGAGGTCTTTTCCAACCTAAATTATTCTCTGATTCTGTAATTGCTCCTCATCAGATTCAAGTATTGTTCTTAATGTTTTCTTTCTGACATGTTGTTAGTCCAGTAGTCGTGTGGTTTTATTTAAAATAGCATTTTTAAAATGCTGAATAAAAATAAGTATAGCACAGAACTGCATATGTTTTTTCTTCCAGAGATATTCCATGCTTTTGTGTTCAGAGAATGATAAAACAGGGACTTTCAATATTAAAGCACTAATTCATTTTGATTAGCTATTCCCAATAGAAAGTATTGTTTGACTCTGTTTGAAGTTTGTTTCAGCAAATTGGCTTTGCCCCTTTGAAAACTGACCAGATGTTGCCATCCAGTAGCAATAAATGTTACTTGTTTAGAAAACTGGTTTAGTTTTCCGAAGTTTATTTTGCTAGCAGTGTATGAAGCAAACTTTGAAGGCAGTCTTGTGTCTTGTAGTAGACTGACTGGTAAAAGTTAGAAGAATTAGATAAGCTTTCAGGCACACAATTTCTTCTTCAGATTTGAAACTGTGAAGCCACAGGTTTTCCAGCTAAGTGGAAAATGAGTTTACAGAGGTTAATTGGTTAGACTTTCTCCCTAAGTGGCACTGGCTGAGAGCTGTGCCATACACTGGGAAAAAAGAACATCCAGCCAGAAGGGACATGAAAACAGAGGTTGAACAGTTGAGGTCAGAGCAATATACCCGAGCCACAATGAGGGCTTGCAGAAGAGTGGAATTATTTTTGTTAAGGATGTCTATAAGGCAGATATCTCTCTGGACTAACCTGTGCAGCTGTTGCAATGCCCACCTGCTCTTGCTGGGTCTCCTTGACACAGTTTTGGGAGATTCTGTAGTAGATCTTGCTCTCAGCCCGCCCTGCTGCTGCTGGCTCTCCAGGAGAGCTTTCCAGTGGTATCCAGGAGAATTCCTGCTTTGTAACTGGGGTTATGTCACAAGCACATTCCCAAGGCACCATGACTCAGTCGGCATCATTTTGGGCAGTTTAAAATAGAAGTGAGCCAGATCCTCAGCTGGTATAAATTGGTCTTATTATATTAAATTCAGATGGGCCTAATTACAAGTGCTCAAGCAGACACAGAGGGTTGCACAATCCATTGCTTTTGTGAGTGTGTGCACTCACAAAAGCACCCATAAAAGTGAGATTGCACAATGCAGCCCCCTCTGAACGCACTACTGTCTCGGCTGCTAATTGAAAACAAACATGGTAGAATTAATAATTCACTGCTCCAGAGTTTTTATATTATGAATGATTGGAGGGATCTACCACTTGGATTAAGAGATTTTACTCTATTGCAGGATTAAATCCCAGCAGCAATGACTGGAGGCCTCTAAACAGGGAAGAGTTGGACTTGCAGAGGGCTTGGATTTTTTCTTTCTCCCCCAGGTGCTATGACTTCCATGCCCGCTGCAACACAGAGTGCATTTTCCAAGCCTGGCTGGAGGAAGTAATTGACAAAATTCCTGTTTATTTAGGTGGAGGAGGGCTTGGGCTGTTTTGCTGCACAGGAAATGGGGCATTTCTTTAGCCAGTGCTTAAGTGTATTTTCCTTCTACAAAAGTCCCCCCACATTTTGCAATAGGGAAATAGGAAATTGTATTTCCTCTGACTTGCAAGGAAGTTGATCTCTGCCCTCTTAATTAGTTGTTTAAAAGATGAAAGCAAGTGGCTGGGGTTAGGGAATTCCAGGAGGTTTCTTTGAACCAAAGTAGTAAGAAATGGGCCGTTACGAATTTTGATTTATCCAAGCCTCACTGAACACTGCCTGTAGAGGCACTTTTATGGATGCAGGTCCTGCTCTCATCTACTTATATTAAATGATGTTGTCAAATAGGGATAGAAAGGATTCTGGGGATAGGATTACAAATCCTGTGTCCTTTGCCAGAGAGGTAACAGGGTAGGAAGGCCATGAGGTGCATGTTCAGGGATCAGGTTTTCCTACAGCCCTGGCAGCTGGGCTGAGCCAAGTAGCCCCACAAAATTCCACTTTCCCCTACTCTTAGACTGTCAGTTCTTGGATCCTCAGGTGGTCACATATTCTGCACATGGCTTGGTGGCATGCAAGCAATTTGAAAGCAGTAGTCAAAACTCCAAACCAGCCCTATATCTGGTCATCCTCGTCCATCTGGGAGGATGCAGATGTGGGCAGGGTTGTTCAGGACCTTGGGAGTGTTGGTCATTGCCTTTTCCTTTTTTTTCTCCTGTCTTTTTTAGTATGTGTTATTCCACTTAAGAGAGTCTTTTTGTGTTTGTATCACGGGAGGTCTAGCTGCACTTCTGTAAGTGACTAAATTACTAATTCTGTTTGTTGTTTTTCTCTTTTTTTAAAAACCAAAATACCAGACAAATTAAAAAAAAGCTTTTGAAATTCATACTGTGTGGCTCAGCATCTCTGTGATCTGTAAGAGCCATTTTTCTTCAGCATATTTAATTTCCCTAATGTATTTGCTGTTAAAGCCTTTATTTTTAGTACTTCTTAGTCCTTTCAGTTGGGGAAATCTATTTTTTATGATCTACACGTGCCTGGAACTTCTGTGGAACATTTCACCATGGGCTTCAGACCACTCTGGATGTGGGTATTATTGGTGTTGTAAATGTAACTCCTGTTTCCCACCTGAGTTCTTGCTCTGAGTGTGATAAACTCATGTGTAGCTCTGCCATATTCCATTGTTTTCATTCCTGCCAGTATCTTAATGACCTTATGGATTAACTCAAAAGGACTCAAAGCCCTCCAGTGCACTTATTTGTAAATTTTTTTAATTTAAAGTTTTACCTGCACTGTCAGAAGAGTGCTTGTGTCCATATGCCCTGAGTATCGGTGGAGTTTGGGTTATTTTCATATTTTATCACCCTGCCAATGCTTCTTTCTAATCTCTGCAAGTTTTGATACTCTTATCCTCTCTCAGGCAAGTGAGAGCAAAAAATAAACATCTCAAAAGTGCAAGTTTCCTCTAAACAAGCTCCAAGAAGAGGAGGGGAAACATATTCATGGAGCTTAGCAAGTACTAGAACAGAAGGGAATTGGGATTGCTAGGGGGGACAGAGGGAAATGTGATGAATGTGCAGTCACATAAAAACTTGTTGGTAGAGTTTTCTTAGTAGAAGACAAAGCTCTGCAAGAGCTAAGTAAGAGTGGGTTCCTTAAAGCAAAAAACAAATCAGGATCCCAAGTAACCTTTGGCAAAATAATATGTCCATTAATTTTTCTTTTCCTTTTCTCCTTGGAAATGAAAAGAAATGGAGTAGTGGCTTTGTTCAGTACAAAGATTTCAAGTTCCCTGCACAGCATTGCAGTTACTCCTCTGGAAGACTGAAATGCTTGGAAATGGTGTGGCTGTCCCTGCAGTGTGGTCACCCTCCTGGAGTGTTTCAGATCGCTGCTGGCAGCTGGGAATCACACTTCTCCAGCATCCATCCTCCTTCTAAATGCTCAAATCAGGGAAAAGGGGTTCTTCATGTCACTTGTGTGTAGGGCAGGGCAAGAATTTGCCCAACAGAAGCTGTCATGATGTGCCAGCTTTGTTGTATAACCCATAACTCAAGAATAGCACACAAGCTCTGAAATGCCTGTCAAAAAGTGCATGTGTCTTACTGAGAAGCAATCACTAAAATTGTTGAACCTTGTTATTATTATAGATACAACACTTCTTGGGGTTTATGAGCACTTTTCAAAGTGTTCTGGCAATAATAAAGCAGGTTTTCTATTGCAGAGGCAGGGTTTTCTGTTTTTGACACTGCCTTTTGTCACACTGTGACAAGCATCAAAATGCTAAAATTGTATTAAAAGGATTGAACCAAAAGCATAGCAGCTGCTGTTGAACAATCCAGGAAATCAGCTTGACTCTTTATGGCTTCTATATAATCTATGGGTCCTAGGAGAGCTGCAGTGTTGCTGTTGGAATTGCCTGAGTGCACCTGAGCTCTCCTAGAAGCTGATCTCCATTTGGGCAACCTGATGTAGGAAGTGGGACACTGATAACACAACAAGGCTTCCTGAATAGCATAATAATTACTTGTCTTGCAATTTTTCCTTCTAGGAGACGGAGCTGCTGGATATCAGCCTTGTCAAAGATGCCAGATGTGGAAAACATGCCAGAGCTCCCAAGGTAGGAATTCTTGCTGCATGCTTTCCTGTTACATTGATGACCTGGATAAAAAATAATGGGAATTATATGCAAGAATTAAAAAGAAGAAAAAAAGTTCCCACAGTTAAAAGATGTGTTTTACCTTTTCTTAGTGTGTAACTTTTTAGTTTTTTACTTTTCTTAGTGTGTAACATTGTTTCTGTTGAGAAGTGTTGGGATTGTTGAGCTTTTGTCTCTGGATTCTGTATGTAAAATCCATCTGGAAGCTCTGCAGGAGCAAAAATCCTGGTTTGTCAAGGTACACTTAGACAAGTTCTTGGCTTCCCTGATGGCAGAGAGCTGATATTTGTTTGAGTCCATGTTGTATTTTATGCTGGTGATTTTCCTCTTTCAGTGCCTCCTGAGGCCAAGAAGGAGGATTTTAGTTTTTTTGTTTGTTTGTTTGGTTGGTTTTTTTTTTAAACTGCTATCAGAGAGGTTGGGAGATCAGCTCCCTTTGGATCTGCCCTGATGTATTGTGCATTCATTTACAGTCTCCACAGACAGTAGGCTGTAGATACAAGTTCTCTCTGGTGTTTTTGTTTGGGCAGACACAGCACATGAGAGGAAAAACCCAAGTTCTGAAAGTAAGGGAGTGCCTCAGAGCATCTCAGGAGTGATAGGGAAAAAATGAAATCTCCCAGGGCCTGGAAAGTTTGGCCTTGCTGCCTCTTAGCCCTGGTTGAACAGACCAAAAGAATGTTTCTCCTACTTTCATCTTGGGGGAGGAATATTCCTGGGTCTGGATGACCTCTCTTCCTTGCAGGCCTGGGCCCAGGCACAGGCCTAGGGGCTCCTCAGCCCCCTGAGGGCCATTAGGAATGGAAAAGGTTGTTTTTCCCTGCCAGAAAGCAGTTGTAGTTATCTCTGAACAGACTATTCATATTTGGTTTTCAAAGCTCTCCATGTAGTGCTGGCAGCATTTTAAAGGCTGAGTTATAATTGAAATGCAACAGAAGTATTTTATGACATCCACATTAATACCAAATGAGTTTCACCATGATTAATGGTTCTATGATGAATAGCAATAAAGTATTAACAATGTCTAGAACATTATTTTAAAATGCTACCTGCTTTACAGTGGACATTCATGTTCTTCTAACAAAATGTTTTTAGCTAAAATTTATGCATAGCTATTGCCTTGGTGACTTTTATTTATTGGGTTACATAAAGGCTGGTTTTGCTAGAGCACATTACAGATCTGACAGCAGTGGCATTAAATGAAGGGTAGGAGAAAATCCCAGCTCTCAGGGTGGTGAAATGCACCACCTGTGTGAATGAGCTTGCTTGTTGTCATTGATTTGTGTGTGGGCAGCAGCTAAATAGTACCTGGGCTGGCTGTTGATGGCATCTTGCAAATGGTGTGAATGAAAAGGCTGCTTTTGGGGCCACTTGTGCCAGCTGTGCTCTGATCCTGTTGTGGGGCTGAGCAAAGGAGCGTCAGCTGCAGGCAGGCAGCATTACAGAGCCCCGTGTGTGTCACTTCCACAGGGATCTAAAGCTCAGCTTTAGAAGGCTTGCCTCCAAGTCAGGTAGTAGCAGCAGGGATTGCACAGAGGTTTTCAGTTAAACTCGTGTGATTTTGGCTGAAGAAAGAGCCCTGGGAACAGAGGATACTCACCAAAGCTTTTCAGGGGCTCTTTTCCACATCTCTGCATCCAGGTGGGAGCACCCCTTGCTTTTATTGTAAACCAGGAGACTGAGGTGATTTTTTCTACATCACCCCACCATGCCCATGGTTTTGTACAATTTTTATATAAGGGGAGTTCTGCCAGTTTATGCAAAATTTTAAGTATTTTTTTTCAGAATTCTAAGGGTTGATTTCACCCATGGGTTGTTGTTATGAACTTACCAGGAATCTTTAAACCTCATTTGGTGTATTTCTCATCTACTGCTGCTTTTTGATTGAAATAAGTGTCCTTTTTAATAAGCCTTGACTTTCCCATTAAATAAAAAAGAGTAATTCCTTTTTATTTTTATAGTAAGCTAAGTTTCAGTGTCATTAGGTTCACCCACTGTAAGCTATCAGAATATGTGAGGTGTGCTGCCACAAAAGGCCACCAGCAAGAAATGATTTTTGAGGACTGTAGGCAGTCCTGGTTTCCAAAACTCAGCCTGTCCTCATGCTGCATTCAGTGCACTGCCATGAGTATTCTTCATTTCTGAAAAAGGATTGAGAAGCAAAAAGGGTTTTACTGTTTCTCCTTTTTTGGTTGATAATTCAGTTTTCATAGTATCTTTCCATAAGTCCAGTCCCATATATTTTGTGATTGTTCTTGCATGGTTTTGGCATCTTCCTGGGTTTCTCATCCAGCTGGCCTGGTTACTTTTTCCATTCCCTCAATGTTTAGCCTCAGAAGTTCCCTTGAAGGCACAGAAGTGCAGCTCTCACCCTGCAGTCCTTACATCAATGCAGCACAAGCAGTGAGCTGAGAACACATTTCTGGGTACTGCAGTGAATGCATGGCTGCCCCTGAGCAGTGCTGTTGCAACAAGGGCAGGAACTTGGGTTTTTAGTGATGTAGAAGGGAGATTTTAGTGGGTACCAGGGCACTTTATGCTTGGGAGATTAAAAGCAGTCTACTCAAATGACCCTGAGATCCTGAGAAGCTCCAGCATCGCCTTCTTTTTGCACGTTGTCAGGGATGGCTCGTTCTGTCTTCAGCTGCTGTTTTCAGAAATGGTAACAGAGTTTTCCATCTCAATGTAATATGCATGCAAAGGATGATTTCTTGATAGAAAGGAAAAATCTCAGGCAGCACAGAGCACTGCAGCAGAGTTCTACATGAGAAAAAAATTAAAGTCATGTTCTGATAAGAATAAGAAAAGACACGTTAATTGTGTATGTTAGGAAGAAGTGCCTCTATTCAAAGTAAAATGGCATTTATAAAGAAGTGAGGGAATTATAAAATTATTATCAGGACTTTGCTTTTTTAGTTTGTATTAGAATCAGGTAGGAAAGGGTATGAGAGGAATTTTGGGAACAGGAGAAAATCATTAGTTGTGATGAAGCAGTGTTTTATTTCCCTTTGTTTTTATATTACCTGGAAATACTTTCTCAAGCTTTGGTTTGATGTGCAACTGAGGCATCTTTTCCCTTGTAAAGTTCAGTGACAAGGTCTGCAAAATAAAATAACACAAAATGTGCTTTTGTACTAGGAGGCATAGAAATAGCTATGAATACTCACATGCCTTCTGGAAAGCATGGAAGTGTCCACGCTCTTTAAAGGAAGCCGCAGCTAAAAATGTCAGGCACCAGTAAATACTGAGAAAGGAATGGTCAGGTGGTGAAAATTTGGCAGTGGCAAACGTGCTCACAGGACTAGGGAAGTCATACTTTTTGCCATCTTGTATTTACTTTAGCCAATAACAGTTTCTATGGAAACTGAAATCTTAAGCAGCTATATGTGTTTTTACTAGCAAGAAGAAAATCAGGATTAGTTGACAGGGAGAAGAAGGAAATAACTCCATGGTAAATGCTCATATTGAAAACTTTTGATCAGTATGTTTTCCCTCATAAATCATTCAGCAGGAAGTGAATTTCTTTAAATAACATATACTGTGAAACCTGTAGGAGATGAAGTTATGAATGATAGAATCACTCTTATGCCAAGATGTGTTTAGCAAGTAATCCCCAATTTTAAAAAATCTCATGGCTCCCCCGCCCCAAGTTTTCTCACTTTAACAAGCAAGCTCTACAGAGAAAAATAATTCAGATGCTTGAATGTTAGAAGTTTGCCAAGACTCCAACTGCTATTTTAATATCAGCACCAGCCTCTCTGTATTTGGTGGCTTTTCTTGAAATGCTCAAGCAAGATGATTTTGGACCTGGCTCAGCTGTAATCCAAAAGCTGCTGTGGAAGGTTTGCTGGCTTCTAACACATCCATAGAGGAAAAGCGGCATTTCCTGAACTATGTGGGCTCAGGAACTAAAAGAAAAACTAGCAAGGAAAGTTGAAATCCTTATTTAAGTGAAAATCAGGTGATTTGGGGGGGAAGGAGCATGTGCAAGTCTGTTTGAATTGTGAGAGCTCTCTGGACTGTGGTGTTTGCCTCTGCTGCTGTGCACTCCATGGCACCGACTGGGAGTCAGTAGGACTGACAGTCTGTGCAGGGACATTCATGTTGTGTTTAGTAACACCCTGATTAGACTGCCTGTGTGAAATGGCAGATGTATTGGGTTTTTTCCTTTCTGTGCTCTCAGTCCATTCCCTGGAAAAGCCAGTTGTGTCCATGGCTGGCACAGGGCAGCAGCACACCTGCTGCCCTTTGCAGCACCGGCTACTGTTGCTCTGCCCATCTCAAATGCTGCTGTTGCTGTTATTTTTGTCTGCTGCTAGAAATGCACGCTGCTTTCCCTTCAACAACCTTGATGCTAAATTAGAAAATGTAAATTATGCCGAAGCAGTGTTCTATTTCTGCCAAAAAGAAATAAAAATGGAATGTGCATACAGCTCACCTTCTTCCCACTCACCTTGGGGATAGCAGTGACAGCCACAAACATCTGCCCCAAATGAGTTTGTTCTTTTACATAACAGCTTTTTTTTTTTTTTTATTCCATAATGATGATTGAGTTGCATAAACATTTGTTTAGGTTGAATTTTACTTTATTAAGGAAGGTTAAGATTTATTTCTTTGTATGATATTTGGCCAGTGCTCAGGTGGAAATGGAAGTGGTTTAAATGCCGCCAGGAGTGTGGGAGCTGTGGGCCCTGAGAGTGACGGGGCTTTTCCTTGGACCCTCCAATGACCCAAAATGGTGACTTTATTCACACAACCTCTAATGGTTGGGGAACTGGGACCTTTTCAGCAGCATGTCATTCACTGTGAAACTTAGCTTGTCTGGCCAGCTCATTGAAATCTCTATGTACTAACATTCAGGGCATGGCAGAAATCACTGGGTTTTTTCCAAGGCTTTCACTATGATCATTTCCAGAAAGATTTTTTTTTTTCCCCCCTAATTACTGACTGTTACAGTTAGC